AATCCTACAGTCTAAGCTGTCATCATTGCTTGTTTGTGTATGTGGAAGTAAGACAGATCAAGTCTTGCTCACTGTCTGTCTCTCGACTCACAGAGCCATTATGTGACGTTTACTGTCCTCTCCTTTAATTAAAAGTCTCTCCTGGCCTTTGACATCACAAAAGTCATCTTTAATAAACCTCTGCTCTGTCCTGAGACTCCAAAAGGCAGGGCGGCAGAGAATGTTCTTCTTTAAGAGGGTAACTAAAAGCATTTTGGGTGTAGAAAGCTACTAGAGTAAACAGAGCTTACAGAAGATTAGCTGCTGTTTGATGCTGGTGGAAGTGCGTCTGTGCCCTAGTTGCTCTGTTGAGTTTGTGTCTATCAAAGAAGCCACGGAGCCTCTTTTCTCCTCAGCAGATGGAGACACGTGCCTGTCCTCTCCTTTAATTAAAAGTCTCTCCTTGCCTCTTTAATAAACCTCTGCTCTGTCCTGAGACTCCAAAAGGCAGGGCGGCAGAGAATGTTCTTCTTTAAGAGGGTAACTAAAAGCATTTTGGGTGTAGAAAGCTACTAGAGTAAACAGAGCTTACAGAAGATTAGCTGCTGTTTGATGCTGGTGGAAGTGCGTCTGTGCCCTAGTTGCTCTGTTGAGTTTGTGTCTATCAAAGAAGCCACGGAGCCTCTTTTCTCCTCAGCAGATGGAGACACGTGTTCTAATTGCAGCAGAAGTGGGCTAGATCTTTCAGAGTGAACTCAGAAAGGAACAAGAGTGAATAGGTCCTGCAGAGCACTTCTATGTGATCTTTTTAAACAAAAGAGCAAAATGAGCGCTCTAGTGGGATGAGGTCACATTAGTTATTTAATGTGATGTGTAGATATTTTATTTGTTGATTCTGTAGCCTACCGACATTTAGAGTAAAACTAAAGGTTCTTGATTGCAGTGGCAGCTCGTGGGTTTTAAAATAGAGGAGGCACACTAATTGTATTGGTCTGGGATCCCTGCCGATTATTATTATTATTATTTGCTTAACCACTTTGAAAATGGCTTTTTGGTTGCTTTTAGTCAGAAAATGTAAAGAAAACAACATACATACAGCAAGATAATATAATTTCACTCACCTGGCCTATCACTTGAAGCAAACATCCATCCCTTCTTAAAAGTCTGTGTTAAAAGAGAGCTGCCTGTTGTGCCATTTAATTAAGCCGACTGCTGTAGCCTATATCCAGCTTGGGCTGTTTTCCTTAAATTTGTATATATGCTGTTTGAATGACAGCTTGGTAAATCTGTTGGCAATCAAATATTCAATATCGCTACTCATCTTAAGTACTTGGTACATTATCATTCGCAGTGGCAGACGTTCAAACTAATATCACGTAATTTACGTCTCTTTGATGATTGGTTGATATACCAGAAGGGAGGCTAGCCTCCCTTACGAGGTTTCTTTTCTCAACACTCCTCAGCGCTGAAAGTGAACACTCGATGGTGATTGGAATTTTTTTTTTACCAACGTAGGCACGAGAGCTCAGCTCTCCGCTGGCCTCCCCCTACCCTTCTCTATCATTAGCGGTTGTAATTACATCAGCAGATTCGGCACATTCGCAATAGAAAAGCGGCGCTTTCACGTTATTTTATTACAACTGTGAAATTACAAACAAAAAATACACATTCTGAGGCATGAACTAAAATGAACTGTGAATTTTATTAACATTAAATCGTCCTCCTCCCATTTTCACCTCAAAATTATAGGGAAGCTGTGCCTCCCCTGCCTCCCCCGACAAGCCGCCACTGCTTGATTGGCATCTGTTTCTGTGAAAAACCTTTAACTTCCATGAAACCTTCCATTGCACAAAAGGTTCTTTATAGTAGAAAAGTTTTTTTTTTTAAAAGGGGTCATGAACAGCCTTTTTTATTATTTTGTACTGTTCCTTAAGGCAGGGGTTCTCAAACCTGTCCTGGAGGACCCCTAGCCCTGCACAGTTTGTATGTCTCCCTTATCAGACACACCAATTCATGTCTTGCAGTCTCTACTAAGGAGCTGATGAGTTGAATCAGGTGTGTTAGATAAGGGAGACATACAAAATGTGCAGGGCTGGGGGTCCTCCAGGACAGGTTTGAGAACCACTGCCTTAAGGTCCACTTATAATGTTATCAAGCTTTTTACATCAAAAACGCTCCTTGTCGCCTCATTTGCAACTTGTCCTGTTGTCAGACTGGCAAATAAAAAAAAACATTAAACTGTTTTTAGACTAATGAGAAAGTTTTGAGTTCTGAAACTTACAGGATGTTTTTATAGTACAATGACCTCTTATATGTCAAAAGATCAAGGGAATTTTGATTTCTCAGTTCATGACCCCTTTAATGTTAATGTTGAAAAAGTACAAGGGCAATTTGTCTTTGCATGATACAATCACTTTAATGTTGTGTGCACTGCTGTAACAAATCCTATAGCTCCACGTGAGTGCGTACATTTACATATTTTTATTTCCTTGAAGCTATTTTCCAAAGCAACTTACAGTGCATTCAAAGTGTATATTTTGTCAGTATATGTGTTTCCCCCTAGCAGGCAGTGCAGTGAAGCTTCATGAACCATGTAGTTTACTGAAATAGACTAGCAGGATACAGAATTTCACTGTGTCTGCCCAAACGGCTGTAATGGATTCTGCATCTGCAACTTCTCTGCTTTTTCATTAATGTTGATGACATTTGCCTTTTTTGGGAAATAGATAGCAAGGTTGTAACCTGTAGGTTTTCATCATGATAGATTGCCGTACGCAGTTCCATTCAGAGCTCAAAATTCTTTACTGAACCTTACTATAATTTTAGGCCAGCGTATTGATGAGTTGAGCTATTCTGAGTTGAAATCAAAGTCATTCTGACTGACTTTACAAAATATTTTTTGTATCGAATTGAAAGCCAGTGAATTGAATCGATTCATTGTTGACTCAAATATTCACACCCCTAGTTGATCAGGATAAATGCCTGAGATGATCAATATTTAATGGGAAGAAAATCTCCTTCTTCTCACCTGCCAACTGGTGCTAGTTGCGTAAGAGGAGTTAGGCATCATACGGTAAAGGGGGAATCTAATCTGCTGTGTGTGTATCCTCTGGCATCTCTTGCCCTCATGACTCAGTGTGTAAGGTGAATCGCTTCAGACACTTACAGCTAATTGATGTGTGGGTGACATCTCTGATGTGTCTGTCTGTGTGTGTGTGTGTGTGTGTGTGTGTGTGTGTGTGTGTGTGAGAGAGAGGCTGCTGTGTCATGGTCTCAGTGAAAGATGCTGCTACTGTACCAAGGTTGGGTAACATTCAGAATTGCTCTCTTTCAGTTCCTGAGTCTGAATGTGAATTTAGCTGACACCCACACAGGATGTTGAACTGGAATGACAGGAAGAGGAATTTACTGAATTGCAATTAAAAGAAACTGAATGTAGTCACAAAGATTCACTGCAAGTTATCCATAATTTAGACTATTTATGCATATTGATTTCCTGCATATTTAGAATGAGGTGCAACTCTTTACTGTACTTTAATATATATATATATATATATATATATATATATATATATATATATACTGTATATATATGTGTGTGTGTG